TATTTTTGAGATATATCCTATAACACTCATAATCCTATATGAATAGTCGCATTCTGATTGGACGAAATTATTCAATTGTAATTATCTACATTTTTTAAAAATTTCTAATAGCTGGAATGGGAAGTAATTTCTCATTGCAAATTGTAAAAAAAAATAAAATACACAGTACAGTCGGTCAATACGGGACAAATGGATTCAGCAGCCTAGTTGGATATTGTATACAGATTTTATTTTGGAACCAAGTCAAACGATAAATACTAATTTTCATTTCATTTTTTCTAAAAAAGAAACTAATAATTTTTTTTTTCTTTTTGTAGATTTTTTACTTGTTAGAACGAGGACTATGGGTAGTACGATACTAGAGACGTATGATCGGAAATTTGAGCTTGGGCAAAATAGAACTTGATTCAAACGAGACTGTGACGATAAGTACATTCAGTAGATCTAAGTGCACGCACCTGAAACCACATGTTAACAACGTGCACCTAGAGAATAATAAGAAAAGGTGCATTTATAGAGGTCAAGCATATATTTGGGCCGGTATTTAAAGTATGCATTTAGAGAAAGCGTGTATAGCGTTGTAAACTTAATTAAATTTAAATGCTAAAATAAAATACTTTACAAAAATTTTATTGTTTAGTAATTACAAAAATTGCAATAAACCGTAATTAAATTTAGAATTACAAAAGCAAAATTTTATTACAGTAATTTAATAATAATTTTGTTATTGATACGTACGTACGTACAGTGATGTTAAAATCCATCGCTACGTATGTACAGTACGTAGTTTAAACTAGGAAATCAGGATCTGATGAAGGTTCGAAAAACATTTGATTACAAATAAGTGCTAAACCAATGTTTACATATTTAACGGCTATAGATAAATAAAAATCTAGGCCGTTTACAATATGTATTGTCAGATAATACTGAATGATACAGTAGTATTTTCAAAGCTTTACTATTTAGTATTGTCATTTAATTCATGGTTGGTATTATAATTCATTTCATATTTTTTTTGTCCCCAGTTATGTACGTGAGTAGTCTAATGTTAACAATATAATTTGGTATACAGACTACAGATCATTCACGGGAAATTCTGAATTTTTATCACCGGACATTACATGAACGTGTATTCAGTTTTCTCGTACATAGAGGTTCCTCGCTACGCTTCGGACAATAACTTGTACATATGTTACACGATACTATCGGCCTTTAAATAATACAAAAATTATTAAATATACAAAACTAATTAATTTTGATTGTTAACTTTTATAATATCCAAATTAATTTTATAGAGTGTGCACTTAGAAAGGTCTGACTATATTAATTTTTACTCTCATTATGTTTTTGTTTTTTTAATTTTGAATATGAACTAATAATTTCTTTTATCGGAGGTTTTTAGATTTTTGACTTGTTGGAATGCGAGTTGGAATTTGAAGATCTAGATCCGGGTGAAAGACTATAGTGATAAATGTACTATCAGACCTCTCTAAGTGCACACCCTTGGGACCACACATTAACAACGTGCACTTGGGTAATAATAAGAAAAGGTGCATTTATAGAGGTTATGTATATATTTGTAATTTGTGCCAAAATTTAAGCGTACATTTGGAGAGAGCTTGCACTTATAGAGGTCTGACTGTATTAGCTTTTCATTTTTGTTCTGGTTTTGCTTCTTTTTTCTTTTTTTTTTTTTAATATGAACTAACAACTTTTATTTCTTTTCTTTGTAGGTCTTTAGGTTTTTGACTTGCTGAAATTCAAATTGGAACTTGATCAAGATCTGGGCAACAATAAGATCAGCTTTTACTCTTTTTCTGGTTTGCCTTTTTTTTATTATTTTTTTAAATACAAACTAACTTCTTCTATTTCTTTTCTTTATAGGTCTCTAGAGTTTTGACTTGTTGAAATGTGAAGTTAAACTTGAGAATTTAGATCGGGGCAGGAAATTGTAATGATAAGTATAGATTTACTCTTGATCTGGTTTTTTTTTTTTTGTTTTGAATGTGAACTAATGATTTTTTATCTTTGTAGATTTTTGTTTTGCTGGGATTGCAAAATAAGAACTTGAAATTTAAAAAACTAAATAAAAAAGCAATTAAAATAAAGTTATAACAAGTCATTATGCAGCCAGATTTTCTAATCACATGCCCTTGGAACCACACTGTAACAACATGCACTTAAAGAATAATAAGAAAAGGTGTATTTATAAAGATCAAGTATAATTAAACCTTTCTAAATGCATATTCTTGGGATTATATTTTAACAATATGCATTTAAATAATAAGTGCGTTTATAGAAACTATGTATATATTTAGGCTGAAATTTAAATATGTATTTAGAGAGAGCATGTATTTATAAGAGTGTATTTAAAGAAGTATGCTTTGTTATTCATTGAGCTTAAGCAATATACTATTTTAAATTTGATTTTTTTTTTAAACTGAAAGCTAACACTTCTTTTTACAAGTTTTTTTTGTTAAATGATTAAAATGTAACTTGGATAAGTTGTTGGTTTAATAAAATAACAATTAGAATCTGCTATTGCAAAATGCTATAGATTTTTATAATTTCAAATACAATACAATATAATATTATTATCAATATAATTTTATTTATTGAAGTAAAAAACAATACATTATTTATATATTAATATATAATATACAAATTCTAAATAATATATTCAATACTCTTCCTGATAATCACTTATACCAACCTAACACTAAAAGCAAATTGAAGATTCAAGCCTAGAAGTCGATAACAACTTGAGGTTTTTTGATACAAACTATTATCAACAAAGTTTTTAAACATAATACACTGAGAAGTGGATGTTTTGGATAGTTTGTAAAGGTGTCAAGCTGGCTTTTCTGCTATTTCTTGAGTAAACTTCCTTTTGCATTTGGCATCCAAACCGGAGGAGTCTCTGAAAACAGTAAATAGAAAGAAGACTTAATTAGAGTTTCGCCTAACTATAAGAGAATTAATTATAAGAATTTGGGGCAATATCTATATAATTTTATTAGTAGTTAGAATCTGATTTTAACTGTAAAATACTAAAATTTTTACTAAATAACCATCTTTTGAGCCTCTAATAAAAGTTGTAGAGACAGTTTTTTTGATTTTAATGTTAATAAAATCATCAAAATTAGTTTAATATTTCTTAAAATACAAGTATTTATCTCTTTGCGATCATATAAAATTCCATAAAATTTTTTTAAAGAAATTTTATAGGATTTTATATGATTGCAAAGAGATAAATACTTGTATCTCAAGAAATATTAAACTAATTTTGGTGATTTTATAACTATTAGAATCAGAAAAACTGTCTCTACAACTTTTATTAGAAGCTCAAAAGATGTTTACTTAGTAAAAATTTTAGTATTTCATGATTAAAATTAGATTCTAACTACTAATAAAATTATATAGATATTGCCCTAAATTTATATATAATATTATTATAGTAATTTTCTCATAATTAGGTGAAATACTAATTAAGTTTGTTTGAAGATGAAAGACTATAAAAACTTTTAGAACAACACTTCTTGGTTAGAAAACTTACAGAAACTCAATATTTCCTTATTATTTTTTGGCTCCAAAATTTTTAATAAAAAATGTGAAATTTGGCTTACCTTTTTCAAAAGATTGGGCATTGTTTATTACTTCTATATTTAGAAACTAGATGACAAATCAGCACATGTAATAAAATGAATAAAATAATAATAACAAGTTCACATAGAGTTTTTAAAGCCCTTATACTTTTGAATAAAGATATAGATTTAATGAGAAAAATCAAGCAAAGTGTATTGAGATATATAATGTGTCTCTTATATATAATTTTTAGTATTTGGCATGAGTTATAGTGCATTTTGTTATAGTTATAGATTTTGTTAAGATTCTTATACTTAATAATAGATTGTTACTCTGTATAATTAGATGTTTTTGCCTGGTTAGCAGATTTTCTTCTTTTTAGTGATAGTTTCTTTTAGGTTTTAGTTTAGATTTTTACTTAGTATTAGTATCTGTTTTTTTGATGTATTAGTTTTTTTATATACCTCTTTTTTTTGTTCTCTATTATCTCTTTTTTTTTTTTCCTTCTCTATAAAAAAGTGTCATCAGTTTGGTGTCATTCTATTATAGGACAGGGATCTTAATGGGGTGGTGTAACAGCTAATTAAGGAATCTGAAAGAAATAAGAGATGTTCTATAGAATAGGTGGGCAAACTTCACCAACTCTGCAACTTCAATATTAAAAATTAATGATTACTAATCATTAACAAGCTTATTTCTTATATTTTCCACCTATTTTATAGAACATCTGAAATAAGTCTGAAGTAAGTTATAAATCTCTGAAAAAGACCAATCTCTCGCTAGGCAAATTGCATCTAGGCATAATACAGCAGTTTAATGATTTACTTAACTGCAAGTGTATGTTTTTTTTTGAATATTAATGATGAGTCCATGTCTCTGTCTTTATTGAAATTTAATTAAAATCTTTTATACAGAAAAGAATTACAACTTAAACTTCATATCATATGATAGCAAGAAAAAAGACTCAGACTAGTTTATCTGCGGCCTAAACCAAACTGCAAGTGGATGTTATAGCACATACAAGATAAAGCTGTAAATAAGTTTATCTTCTGGTAAAACACTATAGATTTGGATTTCTTCATTAGCTGATATAAGAATAAAAGTCTGTTCTCATCATGAAATAAACAGAATTGCTAAAAGAAAAAAAATAATATATTATATTATATAACTATATACTATCTTTATAATAAATATAGCTATTAATTATAATATTACAAAATCTATATTATACAATTATAGTCAGATCTTTATAAGTATATGCTTTCTATAATTAGACCTTTTTAAGTTCACTTGTTAGAAATGTTCATCTTTTTTAAATATATACTTAAATTTTAGTCTAACATATCCATTGATTTGTAAAATTAGGCTTTCAAAATAATACCTAAAAATATTAATTAATCTGCAAAAGTCATATGCTAATTAGATATAAATAAAAATATTACACCAAAAAGTATGAGTTAAGTTTGATTTTATTGGTTGAACAGCAAGACTTTTGATTGGCTAAATCATAAATCACCTTTATATTACTCTTTGTATTCCTTGATTGCAGTTTTTAGTAAAACTAATTGATAATTTTGATCATTTTTGCTTTTAACATGTTTTATAACTTGTTTACATGAAGTTCAAAACTTTCAATCAAATAGAGTACTGTTTTAATTAGTTTGTTTATTTAAATTAATGTAATAGCTTTGTGTTATATACTTATATTGACAAAATCGTTTCCAATAAAAGTTAGTAGACTGTCGAATCCCACTAGGTCCAAAACGTTAATATGAAAAATATACTTTCAATATATGAACTTATAAAATTTTAGATAGCTTTAATTAAGCAAAATTTTTTTGTATAATTTCAAGTTAAAAATTCTATTATAAACAATATAAAAAATTTGTATAACAGTATTTTTTAATAGAAATTAAACAACTAATCAAAACAAACCTTTACATATTACTCCAAAATTACATATTAAATTTGTTGACTTATCTTGAAAATATAATAAAAACAACATCAAATCTATAAGCTTATCTCAAAACCCATAAGTTTTTTTTGAGTAATTAAGAATTCAGTAAAAGGTAATAAAAATTACTAGAACTTTTTTTAAAACTTATATATTTTTATAAATTTATATTTATAATATGTATTTTTATTATAATACATATTAAAGTTATTTTTGTTTTAATATAGATTGCATGACAATTATAAATAGTTGCGAAATTATTCTTCATAATAAATATTTTTGTTGAAATTATAAAAATTATTTGATATAGAAATTAATAAAATTGGTTTTTCAATATTAAAATTTAATTTAAATTATATTAAAAATTAAATAAACCTAAGCTAAATCAAATAAAATAGTTATCAGACATTTAATTTATAAAAATATTAAGAATGTAGAAATTATTGATAAATTATTGTAGAAATTAAAAAAATTAAAAATTAATTTCATGCCCATTTATAGTGACAATTTTTTTAATCTATATAAAGTTTATATTTTAAAGATTTGGTTAGCTAACTGTTGTTAATAGTTATTAATAATGGTAAGATTTTTTAAAAATTTTAATTTTAATAATATTTACAATATATATAATTTTAATATATGTATATACAATATATATAATAAATATATTTTAATTAAAGTTATTTAAATATAATAGAATATAATAAATTAAGACAATACAGAAGAGTATGAATATAATATATATCAAAAAAGATTTAAAACTAAGGGTAGATTAAAATGATATATTACTATTATTCATAAATATAATTTTCTTTAAAAAGAATTACTAGTAATAATACTAAGTCTTATAAAGATATTCAAAAATTTTTTAGTTTATTTTATTTATCATCATTTACCTAATAGCCTTAAAAGTATTAGAATGAAAACAATTTCTGTAGCATGTTGTGAAAGTCAATTTCATGCTGCTTTTAAAAAACATATTCATTTTTATTTTCAAAAAAAAGGTGTTTATAAGTGTTGGTTTTGTAGTAAAAAAAGAGAGCAAGATTTAAACAAATTATTTAGTAGAAAAGATTAAGGAACAAAATATTACAATTAAAATCAAAGAACTTTTGTGGTTTTAATAAACCTTTGATCTTTGTCTAATCTATAATGAATTAAAATTAATTCTTTAGAATTAGCTACTAAAAAGCAAATTGATTTAATAATTTATATGATAAAACTTAAAAAAATTACTAAGTGCAAATGTAAGAAAGTAACTGTCGAATGAAAATGCTAATATAATAAAGATACAAATGGTAATATTTGTAGTACTGAAATGAGTTATATTCATTTTTATACAATGCAAGTATATATTCTTTGATCTAATATTATATTAAGTTTATTAATAATAAAACCTTTTTTTATATAAATTTTAATAATTTACTATTTTTAATTTGCTTATAAAACATTATCTAATAACCATATATTTTAATTCTTCATTAAATTTAACAAAAATCTTTTTTTTTAACGATTATCCTAACTTCTTACTATACATAAATACAAAATAAAATTTTAAATTAATTTAATTAACATAATCCAAACAACTCTAACAACTTTTCAAATTTCTAACAATTTTTCTAATACTTTTCTTAATATTTTACTAAATTTCACTGCAAACTCTTCTAATCTACACTATCTCTCTATACTATATGCAATTACTGGCACCTTTTCAACTACTATATACAACAATATCAAAATATTACTTAACAAACATACTGACTCTTTTTTTATTAATCTTTCTAATAATCTTTTATTTTGGTACTGTTAAGAACGATGGTCTATTCATAATATCTATCAAGATCAATGAAAACTCTCTCAAAATATCATATCTAAAGCTAAATATACAAAATTCTACTTTTTGAATACATTTACTTCTTCAAATAATTCTCTAATTACGATACATCCTTTAGATATTAATTTCTTTATTAATAAATGGCTCTTACAAGGATATACTTTAACTGCATGCTTTACTTAATACTATGACTATCACTTTAGGTCTTCTTCAACCTATTCTAGCTAGAAATTAGGTTAAAATAATTAATTATAGCATTTTATAGGAAATAGAAAGTGTAATGTTATATTGGGTGCTTTATATAATACAAATATAGTTAGAAATCTTTAAGTTTAGAATTATTTTTCTATTTGTAATAAAGTTTCTACTATGGCATTATATAAATAAAAAAAATAAAAAATAAAAAATAAAAATAAAAATAAAAATAAATCAGAAGCAAATTTTATAAATTATTTAAAAATTTAAAAATTCTAGTAGGCAAATTTGCCTGCTAAAACTGATGATTTAAGAGATAGTCCAGTACCACTTCTGTAATGTTGATATATATATATTTGGCCTATTGCTATTCTTTGTAGAAATGTTAATTAAACAAAGATAAAGATATATTAAGAAAGTTTGTTTATTGTATATAATGTTTTATATAGATATTCAAATTTATAAGATTAAAGCTTATTTTTTAGATTTGTTATATAGCCAAATATAAGAATAAGTTTAAAATTGACAATAGATAGTATAACTATTAAATAAAAAAGCTAATAAAATAGAATAAAAAATATATCAATCTAATTTCAATGGTGTATAGATAATAAAACCAACTTTGAGTAAGCAAAAAGGTTTTTTATAAGTGTTAAAAAACTAAAAGTAAGATAGTATTATATAAAATTACAGTCAGATCTTCTAAATGCATTCTCTTTAAATTCAGAATCCCTTAAATGTATAACATAAGCCTGGCTTATAATAGGACTTATAAATAAATACATGTTTTTTATTTTATAAATGTAGGCTATTTTTGACCTATTTATAATAAACTCTCTCTAAAATGTATTTATGTAATTGATGACCAATCAAATTAATTTAGTTTTTTAATAGTTTTATATAATCTTAAATTGTAATTCATGATACTACAGTATCTAATTATATTTAAACTCTATAAAAAAAAATTAAAAATTATATTTAGATTTTGTTCAGATTATTATTTTTAAAAATAAATATTTTTTATAATAAAAACCTAAATAAAACCCTTATAATTTTTCAAATATTTATAAATTTTCTAAATATTTTCAATTTCCTAATTATAATTTTATAATGGAAAAAATTATAAATAGGAAGTTGGAAATGTTTAGGAAATTTAGAGATATTCAAAAATTATAAAGAATTTATATAGGTTTTCATTACAAAAAATACTCATTTTAAAAATAATAATCTAAACAAAATCTGAATATGATTTTTAGTTTTTTTATAAAGAAATATCTTCTAATTCCTAATACTTTATTGTTTATTCTGAAAACTTTTTGACCAAACATGTGATGAAATTTTATTACTTAATCAGCTTAGCTAAAAAATTTATAGCTAAACTTCTTTTTCTATTTATAATTTATAAAACAAGATCAATTTAAAGTTAATTCTGAATCATCAGCTATGTATTAGTATTCTGTTTTAAAAAAAAATAAATTTGAGAGCAAGTCTTATAAGCTAAAGCCACTATCATAACCTACTTCTACTCTTGTAGAGTTTACCCAAACCTTAATATCTACTTTACAGACTATTTACTATGCTTTCAGTCTCCAAACTCCTAATTCAGATGGTCTAAAAGAATAATTCCTTTCTCTAATTATCTAGCAGCCTAGTTGATGTAGTGCTTTTGCCAAACACCTTAGTTCTGTTTAGTTTTATAATTTTTCAGGTAATAATCCTTTAAATAGTACTGTTAAAAGTTTGCTTTACCTCTTTACTTGGCTCTTGCAAGCAGGCTTTTATGTGCTTCAAACCTTTAGATTTATTTAGCTGCTTCACTTAGTTTTGTATAACTCATGTATTATACTAATGCTTCACAGCTTTTCAGTACAAGCTAGTATGACCAAAGTTACAGATGCTGATCTGTTAAATTATACAATTACACACAGTCTGCTGTAATATATTCTATAAAATTTGAATTTCATTATCAGTGAAATTCAAACTCTTGTTCTGTGGCTTGGGTATGTAACAACTTACCAACTTCACTAAATCATCACACCCTAATTTAAAATTTTACCTAGCTATACAAGATGATATTAACTATAAAAATGTTGCAGAAAACCTTTATTAATAGATATACAAGATTATTATTATTTGATAAGATAAATGTAGCTTATTTTTATAAATATGTCTTGCTGTGGCTGCTATGTGTTCTATACTAAATAAATTGATGATTTGTTTTTAATTTTCTGTACTAACTAACAAAAACTGAGCAATACAGCTAAATTTAGCAAATAATTATATGTGTAATAAAGATTAATAGTGAGTAGATGCATATTTATAATATTGGATGTTTCTAATTTTAAAAAAAGTGTTGCTATACAATTAGTATCCCTATTTTATTTACTGTTGGAATTTTTGACACATGATTCTTATTTTTTTGCTTTACTTTATAACTATAAGTACAATATCATAACTTCTGAAAAATAACCTTACTATCTGGTTAATTACATAGTGGTCTTCAATATTTCCTAAAATTTGTTTAGCCAAATTAAGGTATCTTCTTTGTTATGAAGGTTCATACATAATTTCACATTAAGTTGTCCAATATTCACATTTTCAGATATAATTATTGGTTTAAGTTTTGTATAATTTTTATTTTATAGATATTATTTTATAGATATTATTAGGTGGAAGGTTTTGCTGTATAATTTTATTTTATAAATATTATTAGGTGGAAGGTTTTGCTGAAGTGGAAAAGGCAAATTAGCCAAGTTTAAGAAATTATTTTGCAATTTTATTTTATTTCTTTGAAGTGCAAGAAATAATTTGAAAATAAAAAAAAATAAAATAAATGAAAGCAAATAAAAATAAAAAAAAAACTTAAAAATTATTATATTAATTAATATCATTATTATTATAATCAGAGTTGTTACATTTATATTTGTTTTATTGGCTTATAATTCTATTCATTTTTTTATTTTTTTATTGTAACTTTTGAGTATTAAACTTTACTAATTAAATATAAAAATATTTTAAATTTATTACTTTACTAATGCTCTAACAATTATGTTTAAATAATTGCAAATTATTAATAAAAAAAATTTTTTATATAAAGACAAAAATTAAGCTTTTGTTCTATTGATCTATTTGCCAACACTGATTATAATTGATGTCAAACGATCAATTAGTTGATTTCTGGACTATTGCGTAATCATCTGGAGCACCAACCTGGTACACATTTTCGGGGTGCAATTGGCACGCTTATCAAATAAGTATAAAATATTGATAACGATAATGCATTGATTAACATCGCAAAATTTGACCAATTGGTTAAATGGTTAGTTGACAGTGCAGTGCATCGGCACATACCAGCTAATCATTTACACGATTGGACAAATTTATCAACACATGAATCAATAATTGTGTTATCCGGCAATTCACAATTATGATTCTCAAGTCGTGATTTGCTGCGTTTTAATTCGAATGAATATGATTACGACATAACACATAACACATCAAAACAATAACAAAAAGAAATAAATCTATGATCATAGGAGTATACCGGATTATTGTCTGCTACGCATTTAATAACTACATATTATTATTTTCTTTATTAAACATTCGATAACATTTAATGAACCACTTAGAATATACTTAAGCACTTATTGAAATCTTTAATTTGAAATTGAAAATCACTACAATTTTTCGAATAATAATATTACTATTCATATTATTATCTAAAATATCATAAGAAATTACATCATAATACTTGTGCACTATTTTGATCACTATGAAATTGCACCCATGTGAATCTTTGAGAACACCCTTAATTCTTTGATATTTGTATTCATACTGGGGACCGCAATACCTTCAGGGCTGATATTCTTTTTTACAATAAAAAATTGAATTTTAATTATATAATCGGAACGAATTTTTTATACTAATAAATAAAGTATTGTTTATTTACGATAAGGTACGTAGGTAATGAGCTAATATTTTAATATCTACAAATTCAGTATGGATACAAATCTAACTACCGAGCTAATTTTTTATTAAATAGATTGTAATGTAACGTGCGTTATGAGCATGATGTAACATAACACTCAAGATAAAGAATATTAAATAAGTTTTGGCGGGCGATTTCATTTTTGAATGATGATTATTTACAATCGCACAAATTGAATGACAATCAAATGATTGTACTTCGATTTGCGAAATTTGCAAATAGCTATCAAAATAATGTAACATGGTGATTAAGCGGTTAGGTGATTAAAAATTCGTACATACCACATGATAAAAACAAGTGATACTACATAATTTATATACGTATTCACTATTATTTAAATTTTCTCAATATTCATATTGACAATTAATATCAATAACTTATTCGCAATTGATAACTTTTCAGAGTTATTAATCTTCTTATTATTTTCTATTGTTTTCTATGTAGTTCATTATCTTCTTATTATTTTCTATTGTTTTCTATGTAGTTCATTATCACTTTATTTATTTCATTCGACCGCATCCTTTACCTGGCCATTACTATTACCAATTGCAGAATTGTAGGAAACAATTTTCAAATATGTTTTAGTTTATTCACATCAGTTAAAAAATTTCAATCAAGATATGGTTACTTTCTTGAGCTTTATATGTTTTCTGAACGCAAATCTGTTTATGTAGTCTTTACAAACTACGAAATCTAATTTTTTCATCGATCATTATCTACTCAAGCTTTTCAAAAATTAGGAATTGATAAAGTCGGAGTTGCTTTTAATAGAGATTTAAATAGTTGGAAATATAATTGTGGAATTTTAAGTTACGCTCTTACAAATACTGTTTTAGAGTTTTTAAAGGCAAGTTAAAAAACTTTTTATCGAAATTGAAAGTTATTGGTTATCCGACAAATTATTTTCATTATTTAAATGAAAACTGATAAATTTGATGAATTTATGGTTGATCTTAATCAATGGTATACTTGCCGCCCAAATCCCAAACTATTATAGTTTGGGTTTGTCCGCGCCCAAATTCCAAACTCAGGCCCAAATTATTATCTCAAAAACTTTGTTAATAATCTTTATTTAAACAAATGATATGTATTCTTATAGCTATATATAATATATTTACAAAATATTAAAATTATTTTTTTGATTTAATTTTTTATAAAAGCAATTTGTTTTTTGTGGGTTTGAGATTTGTCCGGGTTTTGCCGGCAAGTATAATCAATAGATGAGGAGATTTTGCTTTAAATATGAATTTTAGTGAACATGCATTTAGCATGGAAAGTTATTTTAATTTACTTGGCAAAAGTAACAATCAAAGGTCTCAAGAAATTATCAAATTTGAAAAATTTCTAAAAGCCTCTCAACATGGGTACAAAACAGTAAGTTTTTTTTTTATTTCTTGCTTTATAACATTCACTACTAGTAAGGAATTATTAACGACAAATTAAATTTATTACAATAGTAATATTTCTGATGTTTTATTCATTCGTCATTACATTCCACTATTTTCTAATTTTCAATTAAAATTTCAAGCAAGTTATGATTGCTGGTGTATTATTAGAATTTTTTGTTGCTGGTGTTGAAACGGTATGTCGATATTTATAATCTGTAATATAATCTGTAATATAATCTGTAATATAATCTGTAATATAATCTGTAATATAATCTGTAATATAATCTGTAACATTTATTATTGGCTGTTACACATCCAATAGCTCTACGTATAATACTATATTTAATAATCTTTTATTAATTTAGGTATTAACCACAACGTGCTTTTTCATTTACTATACTTGCAAGCATCCTTTGGTGTAGCAAAAGCTCATCCAAGGATTTGATGTGGAATTTCCAGAGTTGTCATCATTAAGTGACATGCTTACCTATGAAAGCTTTTGAATAATCTTCCATATTGTGATGTTATCTCGAAAGAAACTAGTTGCTTAGGAGCAAAGCTTCCAATAAAGATTAAATTGATGGTCACATAATTTCCAAAAGTTCAGCAGCAGTTGCATGTACTGATGCAATCCATTTACATAAAGATTATTGGGAAAAATCTAATGAATTCATCCAGAAAGATTCTTTTCTAAAGAAGATTTTCCATTATCAGCATCCCAAAAATTATATACTTTGGCAATGGATTAGGAGGTTGCATTGGTAAACAATTAGCAATGATTAAAGCAATGATTAAAATTGAGACATTTATTAAATACAAATATCTTGACTATTTATCATTTTAGCATTTTTATTATTTATTAATTTCTTTTATCATTTGTCATTTTTTATTTATTTTTTTTTATATAAAGCATATTCTTGTTATAAATATTATGTATGTCCGTTCTTCTCTTAGTCATAAATATATAAATTATAAAGTTGTGAATGTAGCAAATTATCTTCAAGTAATATATACATCTAAGAATTTAGAATGTCAGTACTATCGCCATACCCGATTCGGTCAAGTAGTGATAGGTGTATCGATTATAATTTAAGTTATGAACAGAAAAGATCAAATACAAGTCCAATATATTTGTCAAAAATATTTATCGTTATCATTCTTTAATTAAAAAATTAAACTGAATATAATGTTATTGTTATCGCCAGAGTTTTAATTATGTCATAGGCTAGATTTTTTTGTAAGCGATGTTAGGCTTGCTTGAGTAACATGATTAATAGATAACTATTAAATAATCTAAATAATCAGTAATTCAGCTAGTTTACAGTACAAAATTATGTAGATGATTTGTATGACGATAAAAATTCTATAATTTCATTATATTTTCAGTTATTTTTAAAATAGAATAATTATGATACGTGTATCTTAGAGAAACAACGCAAACTGGAATAAAATTTTAACCTTATTAATTATAGATTAATAAATATTGATATATATTGATATATATTGATATTTATTGATATATTTTGATATATTTTGATATATTTTGAAATATTTTGATATATTTTGATACATTGATATAAATAGTATTTACATGCATGTGAAACCATTCATCAAAGTCAAATAGACTAAATATAAACTATATCGATATCGATATTGATTAACACTAGATAAATCATCAGTTTCATTTTTTGTTAGTCGAATATCTACCTGAAATTTTGTGCCAATAAAAAGAACCAGCAATTATATTTAATAACGCATTAACACATTTACTAATATTTTGATCAACTTTCGAACTAAAATGAGTTAATCTATTGGAGATATCTTGAATTTGTGACATTCGTTTATTGATTAAATCTATTGTATAAGTAATAGCCTCTTGTAAAGAATATTGATGCAGTTGACGTAAAACTACAATAATATTGTCAACTTCACCTTCCATTAATTCTTTTTTGAGCGAGTAAAGATCATTAGTAAAACAAATATGATCATTACAATAATCCATAAGATTATCCATAAGATTTTGCAAGTCTTGATTATCATACGAAACTTGAATTCCAAGCAAGGGCTCGATTAAATTAAAACTTGTCATTACTGCTCCTGAATTTCTTCTTATCTTGATATATGCATCCACGGAATTAGGAATATTATTTGTACGTTCATTTTGAGCATTTACACAGCATGCATCAAAATAAAGTGAAATAGTATTACGAAACTTTAATTGCCATGATTCTGTGGTTATAGTTTTCATTCTAGCCCATACATCCCATAGTGCAATAGCAATTGGGTTTTGTAAAAATTCAGGTTGTGGTTTATCATCCAAAATATTTTTGAATTTATCGAGTATTATTTTTATTTCTTCAGGTTTTCCTTTTAAATTTTTATTATTATCAATTAAATCATCAACAAAAAATAACCAATTAAAAAAATCGACAGCAAGACAACGTCTTTCAAAGGATGTTGTTGGGAATATGTAACAAATAAGTAGCCCGAATTTGCTTCCTTTAAATTCTTTATTCGTAGTCTTTTTCGCAATTAATCCAAAATCCTTTGCCCATTCATAACAATGTTTTTCGGTTTTTAATACTTCTTTCTTCGAAACGTATTCGTCGACAAGTAGAGGTATATCACACTTTAACAATTCTAAAATTTGATGTAGTTCATTAAGTATATGTATATCATCAAATTGTTGTAGTGTTTTTGTTTTTTGCAATTTTTTTGTTCTTGAAACATTTTTCCATTCTGTCGGTTCATTCTTATTTTTATGATTTTTATGATTTTTATTATTTTTATCATTTTTAGGGTTTATAAACTTTTTTTTACTTTTCGGCATTGGTTTTATTTATTTATTTTTTAATCGGTTTTTTAAACTTTCTGGTTTTTGCAAAAGGACTGCTTAAATATGTATAAATTTATGACTCAATATTGTGTGATAATTATTATTATTATTTATTCGTTTCGTGTGATAACTGGATTTTCATATATAATAATCACAGATAATGTAATTCGATATTTAATTAGTTAAATTACTGTAGATATCTCAGGTCAAACAATTTCGGGTTAAATGTATTTCCAATGAATCGGATTTCAAAGAAATGGACCCTTATGACCATCTTCTAATTTGAAAATTTAATTAACTTACGCATGTACGATATGAAGGTTCAAGGATATCGGTTCCACCATTTTCCTCTTATTATTTTTTTGTTATTTCTCTTTTATGTACTCCCTTTTTAGCAACAACATACTTCGTTCGTAGGAACATTTTCGTTAATAGAACTTACCAAAAATAGTAAGTAAAAGATGATATTTGATAAAATGTCCGTACATGTAAACATAGTGTACAACGAACGAACGTACGTACAGTACATACGTATCGTACGTAAATAAATATGTACTGTAAGTACATTCGGACATACTCCATTTGACAATGTTAACTTGTTATTTGTATAATAGACATTTTTTGTTCTTAATGGTTAAGGTTTAATTGATCTTTGTTTTCGTTTTAGTACAAATTATATTAAAATGATTCCCGAATTTGTAGAATTTATATCGACGCTCACATAAATGTACTTTGGTATTAGGATCTAAATATTTGACTTTAAATCTTGGACTATTTGATTTATTAAACATTAGCCCTGCTTTCAAGATTCTGAATTTTCAAAGTTTATAATTTTGAGATGCAGGGGCATGAAGATCGGGTTCTACAATCAATTTTCATGTGCGATTCCTGAAATTTGGATCTTTAATGTATCCTTCATGTGCGATTCCTGAAATTTGGATCTTTAATGTGCGATTCTTGGAATTTGAATCTTTAATGTGCGATTTCTGAAATTTGGATCTTTAATGTATCTTTCATGTGCGATTCTTGAAAATTTTTGGGCACCTTTTTTTAGGGTCACATTAGGATTTAGGGTAAAAAATGGTAATTAAATATGTTAGGTGGGTTTTAGTAAGCACATATTTTATCCAAGTACCCGATTCCAGCATCATCTGTGACATTAATTACATAATTACGATTGTAATAATGATTTTTGAGTTGATAATCATTGCAGCATTGTGTTTATCGAATTATAACAATAAGGGAATATGCGTGCGTGTATGTCCCATGACGAAAATTAATTCAGGGGGCATATAGTAAAGTAGTACGATACGAAAACGTAAATTAGGACGGACGTGTAGAAATCAAGATAGTACGTACGGTTTAAAGAAAAACTTTGTCAAGTCCATGTTACCTTTACTAATTACCTCATGAAAAAAGGACACCCTAACTCTAACCATTAAAAATGGGTTACTTATGAAAATTGAATTTACAAGTCTATATTAGCGTACTATCAAAATTTAGTATAATTTTCGTATCGGTATGTCTGTCCGAATTTGTACTAGCGTACAGTACTACTTTACTGAACCCAAATGCTCATCACATAGGGTTAGGGTTAAGCATTTGATAAGTTACAGGTATATATTTTTACTAAATTTCACTTGGCGTGATGTCGGCTAAATGAGCTGTCGTGAAATAATACGGACCCATACTAAATACCTCTTTTAAAGAGTTAGTGTAAGCAATCAAAGTTTTTTTTTTCACAAATTACAATAACGATAAATTAACAAAATTATCGTTATCATTTAGCGGAATTTACGTAAAAGGCATTTGATTCGAAGTCACGTGTTAATGGTGCTAATGCACATGAGTCTGATTTAAGTGATACAATGTGGCATAAAAATGTGTTCATTATAATCATATCTAATACACGAACATAAGTAAATAGGATCTCTTGCAATAAAGGTGAAATCAATTGATTAATAATACATTTTATTAATGGTGTTATCTATGCTGCAAGAGATCCGGTAAAAGATAATTACAATACAAGAATAATGTGCACACTTTAAATTTATTTATCTCATATTTTAAACAGTAAATTTATTCTATTCTCTCATCATTAAAACGCCACTAGTTTTGCTATACACTCAACCCTCATTATGATAATCATAACGGATTAATTCTCTAAAATGTTTTATTATGTTATAGTGGATGTTTATCACTACCCGTTATAGCGAGATGGAGTATAGATTTCCCGTAATTCTATAACAGATAATATTAAATTAAAATACGATATTAGTATTAATGCTATTATTAATATTATTAATGAAATAATATTTTAAAGACTTAAAGTAAATTATAATAGTTTTTTTCCCTAATACTAAACTTACGTTGAATACATTGAATACCTTGGTTTTTCTCTCTAAATTGACCAGTCCAGTATACAAGAATATATAGAACTGGTACTAGTAAAAATAAGTTCGTAAAGTATTTATCTTCTAAATAAAGTTTATAAAATTATTATGTTGGTTTAAATTCTACATATGCTAAAATATGCATTAACCAAGGCCAGGCCTCACTCTTTAAAAAAAAAATAATTAAAAGATGCATTAAAAACTCATCTCTAACATCTAGTTTCAGTTCTTGGTTGGTTACAATTGATGATCTTAATCACCTTATTCACAAACATCACTTCCTAAAATCTGGTTTGATTAGTTCAGTTCTTCAATCACGTTATTTGTTAACGCTAAATATCAATCGCACAAATATGGATACAAAATTTGACAGTCCCATGACCGACTTAACACAATACTGATTTAGATATATACTAAATCTTATTAAGCACTATTTAAATCTTAATTTTTATTAATATAAAATAGAAATTATATATCTAATTTTTTCTGTGCTAAAAGGTTTACCTAATGATTAAAGTTAGTTTCCATAGTAATTTGAGCTTTTTTTTTTAGGTTTTATGTTACACGTTTACATGCCCAATTACATTGTTGACCGCCAAATCTTGGCGTCATTACAATGTTACTCTTTAAGTTAATTATAAATTTATTACACGACTATAAATAAATAAATATAAATATACCTGTATACTCTTATTAAAATCCAAAACATGATTTTAAAATAGCAAGATACTCGGCGTGTCATTAATCAACTTTATTTATCCAAAAATGACTAAATTAAATTAATGATTTTATTTCCCATATGCGTATGTACACTAGATTTCATTGCTTGAATAACTGTAAATCTGTACTCCTTTCAGTTCCTTCAGATAAGATGATGAAATTTATAAATCAATTTTTCTTCAGAAATCTAATTATAACACAAAGCTGAATTGGTTTAATCGTGTTAACAAACTCCCGGGTCCATTTCCTTTACCTATAATCGAATCTGTTTGTATTTTTTTTTTCTTTTAATTAAACTTATTTTTTTTACTTATTTTAATTGATTGTAAATTTACAATTATGACCATTCTGTTTTTAAAAACATCTACATAAATTTTATAGCTTTAGAACAAACGTAGTAGATTTAATGAATGGGCTGCCAAACTTCAACACCAATATGGTGACATCCTTGAAGTCTGGATAGCTCATAGGCGTAAGATTTACTTATATCGTACTGAATATTTTGACAAATACTTTCATCCTTTACAAAATCAAAATGGTTATCTTATATGAAAGTATCTGAAGGAACTTTCGGGCTAGGAATGGGTCAACGTGGTGTATGGGTAAACGCTAGTGTCGAGGATTGGAAATATAATCGTCGTTTATTTGATCAAAATATGCTCACTTCTGACTTTCATCTTGAGCTGTTGATCTACTAATAAAATGTTATAAGAGATGGAACAATATTGGATCTCGCTTGGAAATGATTGCCAGATTGATTTATTCAAATGGATGCAAAGATTAACTTTCGAATTGGTATCTAAGATCACTACTGGAAAAAGAGCTTACTCTTTACCTTCTTATTTTGATACTTTATCAACTAAAAAAGCAGATGTTCCATTAACTATATTAGAAGATTCTGAAGCATTGATCAGAAATTTACAAGAATTTATTGATGCAATCCCAATATTTACCATTTCCCATATTATATTAGGCATTATGTTCCCACAATTAAAAATATATGTAGTTTGTTTTTAGGAATTATTATGAATAGATGGAAAGAAATTGCCGCTAAGAATGGCAGTGATTAATTACCATGATATGTTAACATTTCTTATAATTGCGGATACAAAAAAAGACAACGATAAGGATGGTAATTTTTATTTACGACCTATGACCGATTATTAAATCGTGGGTAATATTTTAGACGATTTTCTTGGTGGTAGTGGTCCGGTAATTACATTTTTAACTGATTGCTAAAGTATCTATTTAAAATGTCTCTTAATGTGAACGTTAATAATTTTTTCAAATTTTTAATTTTATATATTTATATATTTTTGTTTAAAAAAAAAAAAAAAGGTTACATATGCCATCTGTATTATCCAAAAATTTTGCAAAAGGTTCGCCAAGAACTTGATTCGGTTTTCGGTGAAGATTGTGATCGCTCATTTACATTAAATGATCTCTTCATGTTAAAATATTGCGAAGCCGTAATCAATGAGACAATTAGAATGCATAATGCCAATCATACTGCTCCTTGAGAAATTACTGAACCTGATGAATTACTTGGTTATCATTGGCCAGCCCATTTCGAGTTTATGGTGTTTTATAAAGGTGCAAATAATAATTCCAAATATTGGAAAGATCTTGATATTTTTAGTCCAGATAGATTTCTGGAAAATGATCCAGTTTTGAAAAAGAATTTTATAATCTTTGGTAGTGGGCTCCGAATATGCCCCGGCAAAAAGGTGGCTTTGATTTGGTTAAAAGGATTCATAGCGATTTTCTTTAGAAAGTATGATATTAGTTTTATGGATGATAAATTTAATTTCATGAGTACATTATATAAGACTTATTTTAACACAATGAATTTAAAGATTGCTCCCAGAAAAGACATTATTAATAATTAGGCTTTTTATCATATTTGTTGCAATAATCTCAATTTTAATAATCAGTTCTTTTGTAGCATAGATGACCCTTTTAATAAATGTATTATTATGAATCAATTAATCAATTTTATTATATTTATTGCAGTTATTGTACTTATAGTATTTATTGTATTTATTGTAAAATGAAGTCATCTATATTGCAAAATATCCTAATAAACTTTATATTTATGCGTCCACTTGATATATTATATTGTCAAATTTATCCGATTGATGAATTTTTAATATTCGTTGCTAAGTACTATTTTCCTAAAATTTTTGTTTTTAGAATTACAGCTTACGAAATCCTTTCTCTAAAGCATTTTTTCCTAGAGTAGCAACCCGTTAAATCCTTACAGAGCAGTAAGGCAAATAAAAATGAATTCATCATTAAATACTAACTAGTTTATACTCCTATACAAAATTAATCCAACTCTTGCGGTTTATTATACAATTCAAAGCTTAAGAATTGTAGTTAGTGTATATATGGTGACTGAAAAAACAAATTCACTAAAGCCAAAATCTTCTATGAAGCTTAAATTCTAATCATCCTTATAAGTAAAATTAATTTTAAATATAACGTGTTTTAATTACAAGATTTTTTAGGTTTTGACTTTTTTCAGATTAATAAACATGACAATAGCTATGCTTTTAACCCTAACCCTAGAATGTAAGCACAGTTAATTTTGTGTCTTATTAGCTGGAGCTGATAGAAACGAAGTGAAAATCCTTTTAGCTTTACAGATCCTAATTAACGTTTAATATCCAGAAATTGAACCAAAATTAGGTTCAACGTTCGGATACTGAAATCTGGTTTAAAGTACAATAAAAATATTAAATAGTTATCGTTTGCGTAACATATAACGGATTTATCCAATGCTTACGAAGATGAGCAAAATCTTTCTTTAATGTGACAAAAAATTTTTAAATATAAATTAAAGTTTGCTCAATCAAAAAAATTAGAACTAAAAATTTAAAAAGTTTACCTGGTCCAAATCTCAAAGCAAAGTTAAGTATTTTATTTATCATAAAAGTTTAAAACAAAAGCTACTAATTAGGGCTATTATGGACTAATAAGCCATAATTAATCCTAAAACCAGTTTGGATCTAAAAAATAATTGTCTGCTTTTAGTCTCAAGACAAAGTGCATATGTTTAATTTTCATTTTGTGAATTACTTTCAGAAACTTCTGTAATTAGAATAAGCAATATAATATTTACATAAGTAATATAAATTGTCTAGTCGTACATATTATATAATAATAACTAGATAAATTCTATGATCAAAGTTACTTTTGAAATATTATATATATATTTATAATTGCTTACTATATATATAAAAAACTGAATTTAATATTAAATAACAATAAGTAATCATTTATATAAAATTTGTCTATCCTTTAAAATACAAGCCAGATGCATGATCTAATAAGAAAAAATTATATGCTGAAATAATATGATTCTTATCAGATTTGTAAAAATTTGAGAAAATAAAGACTACCAATAATATATTTTTTGTATTGTAATTTTTGATATATCAAATCTATTACAAAGGCAGATTCGAAGCTGTGTAAGATCCAAGTGAAGATTTATTATAATTACTTGTTTAATTTTTATTGGTGCTATAATAGTAACTGGTCTCTCATAGATAATATTATGTCTAAGCTTTAAAATTATTTTTAATACAGAACTATTAACTTTTATTGTTAACTTCTTATAATAATTAAAATGATTTATTCTTTAATAATTTAACTCTCTTTTACAAAAATCTGATAATTTTGAGATATGCAATTATTTGCAAATAATAAACAATAAATAGTATATTCATTAAGATGTTGGTCTAAACAGAACCTTATACTAATTAAATTGCAATATTAAATAAATACTTGTATTTAATATTTTAAAGCAGTTAAAATTTTAAGCATTTAATTAATATTAAAATTTTTTTTTTTAATCTTCAAAGGCCTCTATCTTTATTAAAATCTAATTAAACTTCTTTACAAATAATTAAATAAAGAAATTACATTATTTGAACTTTAT